ATGCGGCACCCCGGGCGGCTGCCGGTCCCAGTGCACCACCTGCTGCGCCTCCTCCAGGTGCCGGTCGGTCCACACGTGCGCGCGGTTCACGCACGTCAGCAGCGCGGGCGCCCCACGCTCCACAGCCAGCACCTCCTTCTCGCCGTCCCAGTGCGCGCCGGCCGCCCGGGCTGGGGGAGCGAGTCGGTTAGGGACCCGGGCCCGGGAGAGAGCCAGGAGGGGGGTGCGAACGGGCGGAAGGGGGACACTCACGGTCATCAGTGACCTTGAGGAGCACGGCCAGGCTCTCGTAGAGGTGGCAGTAATGGTGATGCAGGTTACAGGTGTACAGCCCCTCGTCCGTCTCCTCCACCGCTACGCACCGGGAGAAAACGCAGCCGTGAGCTGCGTGGACCCTGCCCACGCCCCCGGAGCCCCCAGGCCGCCGCCGCGGTTCCATGACCCGTACCGCGGATGAACAGTGAGAAGTTGCCGTCGTGGAAGGCGGAGGGAGGCAGCTGGAGGCGGCGGCGGTCGCGGGGCTCATAAACGCGCTGCTCGCCCGCCGAGTACATGTCCACGAGCCGGCGCGCAGGGCCACCGGCTGGGCCGCTGCTGAAGTCCCAGTGGACCACGCGCTGGCGGTCGTGCAGCCGGTCTTGGGTCCACACCATACGCGGGCTCTGGCAACGCAGCACGGCCCGGGCGCCGGCCGCCCAGCTCACTGCGGACTCGGACACCACGGAGCTGCCGGCGGTCGCGGTCCCCGACGGCCCTGGTGAGAAGGGAGCGTCACTGGGGGAGGGGTGTGGCCCAAGAGTCCAGGTGCAGGGTGGGACAAGCAAGACAACAGAAGGACTGATGGAGTTCCCAGGGAGGGCGGTCACTAACCTGAGGACAGAAGGACAGTAGAGCCTGGAAGAAGAGGGAGAGTGAGTCACACTGGGGCCAGGGGGGCACCTGAGCCTCTACATCAGGGTCACCCACCCAGACTGGACCCCCACTTGGTCCCCTGGATCCCTTCTACAGTCCTCGCTGAGGTGGTGCTAATGACACCACTTAACAGGTGGAGTTAAAGCCAGAGCAGCCCGGAGGACACAGGTGAGGGTCTCTTCCCCCTACCTCTCCCAGGCTCCCACACAATCCTCATGGCCACCTGCCTGGGGTGTGGGGAGAGCAGCTGGCCCTTTGGGGGATGA